ATTTTTCTATGATTTTCCAACCATCTCTGAACGTAAAAGAAATTAACGTATGACTTATGCGACTTTGAAACACACATACATTTAAGTATATGTATATTTCTCATGCATATATGTTTCATGTACAAAAATAACCTACTGAGTGTTCTTTTTTTACATGTTTTTGCCACGTTTTCTTTCTTTAATTTTTTTTTCCCCTGCTTTAAAATCAGCAGCAAATTTTAAGACTTTTCTTTTTTTTAAGACTATTCCTTTTTTATCTTCAATTTCTTCTCTTTTCATGTGTTGCCAGCAAATGTTGTTATTTACTACCGGCTGCTGTTATTCTCCCATTATACTTGCCCGCCTTTCCCCCGCTCCCCACCGTTTGCCGTTTTATGGCCTTGTTATTCTCGCTCGCTTGTCGTGTCAATCTTCAAGCGATCGTTGCTTGCTTGCTTATGGCGAAGTTGAGGTTTTTATTTACAATTATGTTAGAGTATTCACTTTTTTTTATGACATGCCCCTAACTCCTATTAGCCACAGTAAGAAAGCAAACAAGGAAGCTGAGAGTTAAGAGCTGGGGTGTTGTTATTGTTGGTACATATAGTATAAAAAAGGCTGACGGCAACATGCGAAGGCTCAATAGGCAGCTTACCACCTTTGCTGCCACCTTTGTTGCCATTTGTTGAGGTGGTGTGTGTACATTTAAGTGTAATTTATGTTGCAATTAAATAAGCATGGCACAACGAAAAGAAAACAAGAAAAGCAAAAATGGAAACAACAAATGTTGTGACATGCCTGGCAATAAGTTAACATTATTTTTATACACACACGTTTCATCGCTCCACTAGCATGTGTGCGCTTTCACTTTTTGGCAATATATATATTATATATATACTCGTACATATAACGGTCTCTGTGTGGCATCAGACACGCATTTCAGACATCAACGTTGGCACAGACCCATAACCGTAGTTATGCGGTTTTCATTTTCCTTCGCACTAAACTCACTTCTTCCTTGCCCATAAAGCGTTACACTGCCGGCAGCGAGCGAGCTAGCGAGTTGTTGGCAGCTGGCGCATAAAATTAAGTGCACCGTTAGACCGACTAACTGCACTTTACTGCTTCACGTTGCAACGCGCTACCCACACACACACATAAAACCTGGGTATTTGGCGAGCACGACCATTACTGGGGCAGCTGTGCATTTCGAAGCAGTAAACTCGTCTTTATTTGATTGCCGTTCGGCTTTTGCAGTCGCCGCGATATGCACTTTCCACACAGCTGCACCTCAGCAACACATTAACGACATTTCGTATGGCTTTTAGTTTTTAACTTTTACAATTTTATCACACACAGATGAGAAAATCGCTATATTTTGTAAAAACACAAACAAACACACACACCCAACCGCCGCGTCGCATCGCTTTTCAAAACAGCGTACGCGAAGGCAATCAAACTGCCAATTGCAGCGAAATGTCTCGCACCGCACCGCTACACCGTAATACCGTAATACAGCGGCACTTGAGCACTTGAGCACTTCGTTAACTTACACGTCTACTTCCGGCGCTAGTTGAATTTGAACTGAATTTGTCTTTTGCCGAGCCACGAAGCTGTAGCATCGTATACATGTTGTGCACCAATGCGACAGTTGCTGCTGGCACGAGGCCGTCAAGGAGTAGCCCTCGTTCTCCAATTGGTTTAATTCGTTGCGAGAGTTTAAACTTCGTAGTTTCGAAGTTGGGAGTAAATGTAATGTGCTCCTGTGAATGGAATTACTCGGTGTAGTATTGAGCAGCAGTAAGCGCTCAGAAATTTATTGTAACGGTAGTTAATATATGTAATTGCTCCTTTCGAAAATCACTTTTCGAAAATGCAATTCATTAATTTATGTCCTCGAAAATGACAACTTGATAGCTCTATTCAACACTGTTCCACATGAAGAGCGAGCGGGAATTTGTTGCTGATTTTTAATCGTACTGATATACTATTTCCAGTATGGAATATATTTTCGAAAAGAAAGCGCTTCTACTATTATTGCTTATTTTAGGTGATCTAGGGAGTTTTTGATACCTAGCAACATTAATCTCGTTTTATTGGTTCTGACTGGTCCACTATCCCAATAGCGCTTACTGTTTCGGCTTTATTCGAAACATATTGTAATGTCAAAGTTTGCAGCAATATAAAACATGGCTCAGGTTGATGCTCCTAGTTGAACGTTTCTTCTTGAATCCAGAGTAAATTTTTGGTATTCTACTTGTTTGTCTCTCCGAGTGTTATCTTCGATAGTGTATTTCAACTTTTCCTAATGTGCCCTTTAATTTGTGCTGTGTTGTAACTTTTCAGTACAAGCAGCTTTATATAAGATCTAGTTATCACACAGGACAGATTATATTTTCCCAAATATAATATTATTCTGATTGTTCAAAAAACCATCTTGTCAGATCTAGAATTTTTCTTTCTCTGCATAGAAATTCAGGTGTGAGTTGCTAAAGGCGCACAGTGAATTTAGAGTTTCATACAGCATTTCTGTCCATAGAAATCATCTATTTTAAAATTAAACTTTTTTCCTCTATGCTCCAAACTTCAAAGATTTCGATAATTTATCGACAATGAAATTTCAGTAATTTTTCGAATAAATTTTAAATCATTGCCATAAAATAGATACTTCCACCTAGTTCTTTTTTGCTATAAAAAACGAATTATAGCAATAAATTAGTACTAAACTCTCGGTGAAAATCACAAACAAATACCTCTTATAACTCTCGAGTGGAACTCAACACAAATACTCAGTTTTATTCTACACTCTTTGCGTATGCGCCATATTTCGATATCGAAAATGCATTTTTAGTCCAACGGCACGTGCTTTGCCACTAGCATTGGCATTCAATAAACAAAAGCAGATCTCGAAGACAAACAATTTGTAATGCATACTTAGAGTATACACATTTCTTACATACATACATACATACACACATACGCAAATACATTTGCATATATGCACCTATGTATGAATGTGTGTATGTAAGACAAGTGTCAACAATGTGCGCACAGTGCAGCGGCAACTGACAGTTGAAAATTGAAGTAAGAAAAGTTGAGGTAAGAAAAGTTACTTTAACCGTCAGACAAATATAACGGTTAAATACAACAAATACTTTCGGATATATTAATATGTCATGCAAATGTTTACAAGGTTATGCACAATTAGTTTTGTAAACTTAATGAATATCAAAGACATGTGCTTTATTTAAAATCTCAATATTTGACTTTATATTCACTTGCAACATGTTGCAACGGAGATTATTATAGTTTTCTTTACCTAACGATTGTTTGTATCATCTAATACTAATCGAGATAGATATCAAGTTATATACATACTATTTAATTATCGGGATAACACATTTAGTTGAATTCCGGGTAACTGTCAATCGGTTCATCCATTTGTCTATGCAAGCTATTACTTAAGTAAAAATTGGGATATCTTGTTGAAACTTAGTACAGGACCTTTTTTAGTAATTTGAATCAAAAATTTATGAAAACTTATAAATTAGATACATGTTAAGCTCCAAAACTGTAATTTGTTACAGAGAATCACAGTAGGATGTTGCATCTGCAGTTCAAAAGGTTTTAAAAAGTGGGTATGACCCATCCCCTAAATAAGTATAAAATACATATCTTTGAAATCACTAAAGCTATATCAACCTAAGCTGCATAAGACAAGTGTTATCGATACTTTCACTCTTCATATAACGGTTAAGTTGAAAACCATTAAAGATGCTTTAACTCAGTAATAAAAACAAGTTAAAACGCTAAGGCACAAAAGATGGTACAAAATCAGACCATAACTTTTCAAGCCAACATAAACCGAATATGTGGACCCCAGTGCCTCTGACTGACCTCTTACTAAAAATAGCAATTATTCTGTGAAGCCTAAATATTAGAATTTGAAGATAATCTTTTTTATGATAACAGTATTCCTTTTTGTCAAAAATGGGTGAAATAGGGGTAAATACTAGTTTTAGCCCCCCACTTCTTCTACTACAAAGAATTTCGACTTTCTAGCCTGTAAATATATTGGTAAATATGCAAGTTTAACTACCTTGTGAATATATAATATTGGATTTACGACAGTTTCATGCCGAAAATGTGTGAAATCGGTACACGTTTCACCCCAGCTTCCATATTCCACATAACGTTATTTGTTTCGTTATTCTAGCAGACTTTATGATGAGTACGTCAGTCAGTGTGTGAGTTATATTTATAAAATTGAGTAGAAATATGTTACCGAGTATACTTGAGTAAGGACAAAAGGTAATGTAATCAGTCTAGATCTTCTTTTTGCTCCAATATACATATACAGATACAGTGACATTCAAAAATACACCAATTTGAACAAAATGGTTTTAGTAAAAATATAATATTAGTAATTTTGCTCTTTCAAATGATATATTATATTTTATTTGTAATAAAGGATCTCAGTCACCAGGAAATATTTTATTCACCTTCAGAAACTTTTAATTAAAAATGTTTGAAAGAGCTTGAATAAAAATATCTTAAAACAATATACAATATAGTGTATTTTAAGACCATTCTCTTAATTTAATTTCAAATGTTAACGATTTATATTTTAGTACTAAAATCACTTTGAAAAGAATGTAATTTCTTAGATATCAAACCACTAACTTCTAAACTGAAAAATGTTGACTGGAGTGCATACAAGTATATTTCATTTGCCAATAAAAGTTACACTTGCTTGCATATATGGTATTAGAGAAAAGTTATATTTATCAATCACTTACATATATAAGTATATGTAAATAAATAACTGCTCAAATAATTGCAACAAAAAAAGTAGATTTATACAAATATTGCTATTGTTTAAGTTAACGCTTAATTGCTAACACTTAATTGCTGAAATTGCGAACAATTGCGAAGCACGTACGATTCATTAGTTGTTGTTATTTACGGTACATGTGTGTCAGTGTGTATGTGTGTGTGCGTTCGCACGCCGCAAACTATGCCATGATTAATTATAGTTATTGGCCCAATTTGCCAACGCGTTAACCTGCAACACCACAAAATGCATTATTATTATTATTTAAAATTAATGAATGCCGGTGAAAAGAGCGGTAATGAAATATGGCATTTGTAAATAAAATAGAGTGAATTTTCAGTTTTTTGTGCAAATACAAATGCGCGCACATAGATATATATTTATTGCCACACATTTAATCATTTATATTTGTGTGGATGGGAAAACAGAGGCGCTGAATGCACGAAGAAATATCGCTGGTTACTTACTACTTCGGTTTGGGGCTTTATAGAACTCAAAGCAGGTTTTCTATGATCACTTATGATTAATTAAATTTTTGTTAATTTTTCAAAACTTTTTAAACTTTTTACGAACCATACTGAGAGAAATAAATTTACGGAAAATGTTGTTTTAGCTGAAAGAACTGCAAGCAAAGCTTTATATAACTTAAAACTTTTCAAAATATTAATAACGGTTTATTACAGTTAATGAAAACAATACATATTTTTTAAAAATATTTCGGCGTCGATTATTGCCGTGAATCCGCTCCTGTATACCAAGTTATGCACCCATTGTAAAAACCAACTCCAATTTAACTCGTTATTTACAGTTACTTCCTGTCATTTGTATTGATTTGCTGCGGTAAATTGCATAATTAAATTTTGGTAATTTTAAGCAACGGAAATTGTATTTATAAACAATTACTGACTTTTTCTGTAATGTAAACCGCTTACTAATGCGGCGAGTGTACCTAATTTGTAAGTGAAAAATCATTGTAAAATATTCATGCGCTGATTATGGGATAATATACAGTTGAAACGGTCGATTAGTGTAGTACAAGAGCTAATATTTAATTTTCTGGTATTTAAAAAATTATTACAACGTTTTTTTTTTAAAAAGCTGGCGTTTACAAAGATTGAATTTGGTAATACTACTAACGCTACAAGTTGGATAAGCTGTATATAATTAAAATGATACAAAAGTGGTAGAAATTTTATTCAAAATATATAACAATGCTTACACTTTGAAATGAAAATTACAAACAAGTAAGGAAGGTCTAAGTTCGGGTGCAACCGAACATTTTATACTCTTGCTTTTTGCAAGGGTCAAAGCAGAAAAAATACCTTCATGTGTTAGGAAAGCTTTACATTAAAAAATGTTAAGAAACAATTCAACATTCATTATTCGATAAAATGGTAAATGGACTACAATCAAATATCAAATTTATTAAGTTATATTATCGATCATAGCCTCACTAAGCTTTATTACTATATTTTACTTCACGTCAGCTACACTTGCATTAAAATCATATTCAAATGAGATATATGGAATATAAACTCGACAGAAGAAGGTAAATTTAATATTGTATAATGATGTGAAAACATCAAACAAACAGAAGGATGAGTATTCATTATTTTATGTATATAAGACCTAGACAAATTTGATTTATATTCCCACAATTTAAAAAACAAATTGTTCATTTAATTTTATTAAAGTATTACACATTTTGTCAAGTGAAAAGTCGGAAATTATTATACTGGCTATATTGGGGATAGAGAAAGGGTTGGGCTGATTGAAATTATTTGACGTTATTGAGGTATACTTGAGATCATA